TAAACAGAGGAGATATTCTTCAGTCAATGAAAAAGGGATACATTTTGAACATTTTTCTCAGCCTACTCTTGGTATAAACAACAGTTATAGTACTTATAGCAGCAATAGGACTAATTCAGCATCGTCAGATTCCGATCTCGAGAAAAGAAGAAAGTTAAAGAAATTCAAGGATGCAACCACAGAGGTGAGTCATTTCTTCTACGATACAGATAATAAAGAAATCATGTACTGATAAGTAAAGTAAAGGACCCTTTTCCACACCTTTCAGGCGTATTGGGCATATAGGGCTAGACCTATATTTTATACACCAACCGACTCTTGGTGGGTGATGTGGTCAGCATCACGCAGGCCGCCGTTAGTTCCTAGGACTGTACCTGTTACCAACTCAAGGCTGAATCATGTACTGGTAAATTTTTAAAATTAAACTTGTGTTTCCAGTGTAACTGGACTACCAGTGTAACTGGACTACAAGTGTAACTGGACTACCAGAATAACTGGACTACCAGAATAACTGGACTACCAGAATAACTGGACTACCAGAATAACTGGACTACCAGTGTAACTGGACTACCAGTGTTAGACAAAAGGTCTGATCATGTACCAAAGGATTTTCAATATACAGATGGCTTACCGACACTCAAATGGTTATGTCTGCTTACAGACAGATGGTCTGACTAACATGGAGGCAGAGAAGTAAAAGGAGAAGGTGAAAAGAAGTTAGAGAATTGGAAAAAAAAAATACGAAGGAATAAGACTGCGAGGTAAGAAGTGAAAGAAGAGGAGGAGGTTAGTTGCGTTTCCTTTACAGGACTTTGAAGAACCAACCCCAACAGCCCTTGGCAAAATTACGTCCAGTAGTTTGCCATTGCTTTCTGGACGGTCAGCTTTCTTGATACCCCTGTCGAAACCAACGCAAGGCGCGTGGCCCACGGCTGGGATCAAAGAAAGAAGAGGATGAGACTAAAAGTTCTATTCAGAAATATTTCTGGTGTCCAATGTTTAAGACTTATAAGAACTGCCTAATTCATCTAATGGGCTTTCTCTCACCAAAGGGCCTAAACGTCCAACACATTTGTATAAATGTCCAACACATTTGTATCTAAAATTGTCAATCTACCACTCCTCTTCTTCTTGTCACTACAAATTTCTTGAATCATACATGATTTGGAGTTTCTACTGTAAAAATGTATGTTAATATTTCTTCTAGGAGAGACCTTAACTTAGACACAAGTGATTTGTGTATTCTTGCTTGTGACTTATCATTGATCATTTATATTATATGCTGACAAAGGCTTTTAAAGCCACATTTGTCATTCGTTATTGCTGATTGCTAGTTTGGCCTGATATCTTTTGCTGGCTTACATCAGCAATCTTTACTATGTTGTCATGGATATTATAGTCTTTAGACAGTAATTAACAATAATATTATGTAATAAAAGATATATAGCGCCGGTTTATATTTTTATCGGTGGGCACATGGTGGGAAATGTGGTTAATGTCACACCAGAGGTCCTTCATCTCCATCATATGCTATACCCATAAACATGGGCAGCCATGGTTCACCAGTCTTATGTTGTTCTTGTCCCCAAATTATGCCAAGAAGCAAATTCATTCTGGTATTTATCTGTTTGCCTACCTTTTGCTTTATTCTATCCAGCTTGCCAGATATAAGTGTTCAAAATTCATTTATCCTCATATTGTGCCTGAATAAATGCTTGATTGACTACTACTAATTTATTTAAAAAGCAGATAAATTTATTCTTCTTCTTTCGTTTGCCTGAAATAAGTTGTCTATCAGCAATTTTGCCTCTCGCATAAATTTCACTGTCGTTTTTAGTTCATTCAGTTGTCCATAATGTTTACGTTCCACTTGTTCTTTCTGACCAAAAAGTGTGCCTTAAAGTGTCAAATTCGGTGCAGTCCTATAGTACAAGTTTTGCTGTCTGGGACACCTTTCCACAGGTGCACATGGCTGATACATCTATCTTGAATTGTGTGTACATGTATGCAGATAAATGGCTTACAAGTTTCTTAAAGGACTGCCTAATTTACGGAGCTCCGGGATTTTCTTTGGGGGAAAAAGGGGGGGGGGGGGGGGGGGGGGGGAAGGCCCATTTCCCCAAACCTTCCAACAAGCATAATGTAAAAGGTGACTTTTTAGGGTTTATCTTTAAGGTCAGAGTGCATGTTGTGGAGGTGCAAAGAACCAACAGTCTGCATACAAATAAGCCAGATAAGTAAAACAAATGTGCATGCAAACTCAAGTTCTGAAATAAGACTAAAGTCCACAAATTGACAAAGAACAACCATAATTTTCTATCAGAGTTTAAAGTCGGTGAACCCAAGAAGAAGCTTTTCTAGACAACTTTTTAAAAATTAATTTGTAAAAAGTAAAGGGCCCTTTTCCTGCTGTTTGTGCATATGGCATGCAGTGTTGAACCTACATTCTATAGATCCCTTGACGTCATACCTCCTTTACTTCCCAGGACTTTTCCTACTACTAGTGCATATGGCATACAGTGTTGAACTTACATTCTATAGATCCCTTGACAACGTCGTGCTTCCTTTACTTCCCAGGACTTTTCCTACTATTTGTGCACATGGTGTACGTTTTAAACCTACATTCTTTAGATCCCTTGACAACGTCATTCCTCCTTCACTTTCCATGACTTTTTCTGATATCTATTTTACATGGATTGGGTGAACCTAGTGGCTGCACATGCACATTTTTAAAAGCCTGCCTCAAAGAGGAGAGGATTCAAACAGCTGAACACTGAGCTGGCAGGCAAGTCTATTCATCAATGGGAGCACCTGCTCGAAGAAAATTTCGGGAAGGGGGTGGGTGGGTTGTTTGGTGATTCCTAAATGTCCACACACACCCCCCCCCCCCCACCCCCCCACACATCCTAGCAATTCTAGCACTTCTGTTTGCCCTCATGTTACTGCTTCGCAAGTCTAAGGAATTTAACTGTGTGTCACCTAAAACTACTATTAATTGTTACAGATCAGCACAGAAACAAAACGCTTTCTAAGCACCTTGAAGTACAAGCTACTCAACAGGCAAGGCAGCAAGGTTACACCTGTCAAGCAGATCAATTTACTGCCAGATTCTGATGCCAATAAATGGGCATTCAAGCCAGCAACTGCCAGTGACAGAGTCAACTCAGAAAGAAGCAACAACATATGTAGTTACCGCACATCACCCCTTCATGTTCCTGAATATATGGACGGCGAAAACAGTTTGAATCAAATGCTCCATAAATGTTGAATAGTTGACTGGTAAATAATCATCTTGAAGATTTTAGTTTAACTCTGAATCCTTTTGATGACTGTGGCTCAACTCTTTGAGTCCCAAGGAACGCATCATACGTTCATAGGTTCCTGCCTAGAAGACCAATGAATGCAAGATGCACCGATTTTTCATCTATTTTGACTAACCCTTGGGCCTCTGATGCTAAACCCCCTGGGACTCAAAGAGTTAAGGGTTACATAGCCTCTCAGTCTCCGAAGAGAATGTCAATCTCATCTATAGTGGCCAGGTGCTCAGCAGAGAACCTGTTTCTAGGATGACAGGTAATATGGGCCTTGATCCTAGTGTACCACCATACATCCCAAAATAAGGATCAAAATGAGATAAAGGAAGAGGTGTATGAAAAGTAAAACAGGAGTACAGGAGATAAAGGAAGAGGAGTAAGGACAGTAGAGCAAACAGGAGTGTAGGAGATAAAGGAAGTGGAGTAAGGACAGTAGAGCAAACAGGAGAGTAGGAGATAAAGGAAGAGGTGTATGGACAGTAGAGCAAACAGGACTGTAGGAGATAAAAGAGATGTATGGACAGTAGAGCAAACAGGAGTGTAAGAGATAAAGGAAGAGGTGTATGGACAGTAGAGCAAACAGGAGTGTAGGAGATAAAGAGATGTATGGACAGTAGAGCAAACAGGAGTGTAGGAGATAAAGGAAGAGATGTATGGACAGTAGAGCAAACAGGGGTGTAGGAGATCAAGGAAGAGGTGTATGGACAGTAGAGCAAACAGGAGTGTAAGAGATAAAGGAAGAGGTGTATGGACAGTAGAGCAAACAGGAGTATAGGAGATAAAGGAAGAGGTGTATGGACAGTAGAGCAAACAGGAGTGTAAGAGATAAAGGAAGAGGTGTATGGACAGTAGAGCAAACAGGAGTGTAGGAGATAAAGGAAGAGATGTATGGACAGTAGAGCAAACAGGGGTGTAGGAGATAAAGGAAGAGGTGTATGGACAGTAGAGCAAACAGGAGTGTAAGAGATAAAGGAAGAGGTGTATGGACAGTAGAGCAAACAGGAGTATAGGAGATAAAGGAAGAGGTGTATGGACAGTAGAGCAAACAGGAGTGTAAGAGATAAAGGAAGAGGTGTATGGACAGTAGAGCAAACAGGAGTGTAGGAGATAAAGGAAGAGGTGTATGGACAGTAGAGCAAACAGGAGTGTAAGAGATAAAGGAAGAGGTGTATGGACAGTAGAGCAAACAGGAGTGTAGGAAATAAAGGAAGAGGTGTATGGACAGTACAGCAAACAGGAGTATAGGAGATAAAGGGAGAGATGTATGGACAGTAGAGCAAATAGAAGGGTAAGAGATAAAGGAAGAGGTGTATGGACAGTACAGCAAATAGAAGGGTCAGTGATACCCTCATTAAAATATCAGAGAGAATTTAGAAGATTATAAGTGACAACGTGTATTCCTACCAGGCACCTAAATAAAATAATGCAAGCTGTGGATAATAATATTCCATACCCTGGAAGGTTCAAATCACATACCCGGGAAGGCTCAAATCACATACTCGGGAAGGCTCAAATCACATACCCGGCAAAGGCTAACCTGGGCAACAAATGCCTGCAAAAGCTGCAAGTAACCACCAAAAAACTGCAAATATTGCGAATATGTTGCAAACACACACTTACATCTTTCATTGAATGCAAATGAAGAAGAAATCACATACAAATCATTGCTAAATACTATCTCAAACGTCAATCTTTATTCTCAATATCAGTTACATTAAAGTCACAATGAGCTTCTGACTGTGATGAAGCTCTGACCTCTAGTTCACAATCCTTTAAGTCATTACTGTATTTATGATTACAGTTGCCTTGGTGAAAGCTGGCACACGGAGATGCATCTTGTTCCACATACTTTGAGAATTTCCCTTGCACAAAAATCCTTGGAACATCAAGCCCCTCTTTCTTGTTTATTGTAGATCTATGTACATAGTTACAATGTAATGTCCTGAGTCCAGAATGTTCCATAATGGAGATCAGTTTCTCTGAAATTAGAGAGGTTGAAAGAATGGATTTAATTATGTCATCAAGTGAATATATACTTAACAAGTAAAGTTTTTGTCAATCTTCTTCTTCATAAACTAAAAAAGATAAAAACATTACACTGCATTGTTCTGTCAAGTATGCCTTACCTAGTCCTTTGACTTTCCACTCTATCTAACACACCAGATTTGTGCCTCTCTTTATCCTGTTCCGAAATCTTGACTGGTATCGGGAGACCTACCAGTGGCCTAAGCTAACACACCAGCTTTAATTTTCAAATTGTATATGTATTGTGTCTCTGTGAGTTATACATTAATTTCTATCTGTATGTGTGCGTGCGTGAGAGAGAGAGAAAGATTTGAAAGAAATTACTTTACAAAGAGAACTGGCTATGAGCATAAGATGCTGGCTACCCACATTCTTTAGGCACTCTATGTAAATCAGAAAACAGTATGATGTTATAACAGGAAGTGTGAAGAGAAAAGAGGCAGCAAGAGACTAATAGAGAGGATCTTAAGAGTTTGGCTTTATGTCATGAAAAAACATCTGTTTCAAAAATATACTGTTGAAAATACATGAAATGCATAGTTATCCGACAGTGTGTTTTTATTAGTTGGCGGAAAAACCCCTTCGCCTAAAAACTATTCAAGACCCAGATACAAAAGAACTGTCAACTGACTGGTTGAACCCTAAAGTATTTTTGTGTGCAATTTGAACAATTTCATTCATTAAATGTTGAATGACAAAATTATGTTTCTGTCAATTACCATATGTTTCTTTCTTTGTGTGTGTGTTTGCGTGCGTGCGTATGATTTGAGCCTTCCCAGCTTGTGATTTGTAGTATAATTGGCAGAAATGAAAACAGAAGACTGAACAAGGATGATGATCAATGCCACATGACAAGGACTGAAATAAGTCTGTGTAATTTTGTATACCTGTATGCAGGAATACCAACACAAAGAAAACTCTGGTAAATTCGATCAAGCCTTGTTTAAGAGTCCAATAACAATAATTATTAATATTATTATGCTCTGAATAGCAAATAAATATAATATTTGAAATAATATAAAATGTATAAACAAATACTTGAACATGGTTAGAGGGATGACTTAGCTCTCTGCAAACTTTTTAGGGGGCAAGAGGGCTCAGTCTCCCCATCCCATTGTTACAATTAGTGTTCGGCTAAGCTCCCCCCCCCCCCCCCACAAAAAAAATACTTTAAGGGGGCCCAAAGTGCTGAAGCTTTCAGGTTCTAGCACCCCAGTACAATTACCCTGCAACTGTGTTATCTGACAGTTACATCTTATTTGATGCAAGATGATTTGCAGAGATTAGAACAAGGTTCGCTACAGCAAAAGTAACCATTAGCAACATGTAGACAATAAAGAGGATGGTAAAATGTTACATAGAACCTGTTCTGCTATATGGCAGTGAATTTAGGAATGTCAGAACAAATTAGGAAGACTTTGGAAGCAAGAGAGATTTGGTTTCTGAGACGACTGTCACCTTGGGCGGCCAGAGTAACTAACAATGATTGCTTGATAGAGGCTGCTGAAAGTAGATCTCTATATACAACAATAAGAAAGAAACAAACACTGTTCTTTAGCTACATAATGAGAAGAGAGACTTTGGAGAACATCGTGACAACTGGAAAGATCGGTGGAAAAAGATGTAGAGGCAGACCAAGAGAGATGATGCTGGATGGGCTGAAACGATGGGGTGGAGGGATATCAAGAAAGCTGTTCCAGGCAACCAGGGATCAGGATCTATGGAGACGCATGAGTGCCTACGCCAGTTGGCATGGCACATGATGATGATGAGACAATACTATAAAAATATGTCAACTGGAGTGGGGAAAAACAGTGTTAAACTGCTATACAGAACCTGTGTTGTTATATGTATGTGAGACAGAGATAATAAGCAAACAAGTTGAAAAACACCTACTTGCCACAGAGATGTGGTTTGAGAAGAATGCAAAGAATGTTATGGAGTGATAGACAAATCAAAAAGGCAGCCCATCTTGAGGCAGGTAAAAACCTAAACTGAACAGAGAAATTAACCATGACTAGCTTCAGCTGACGGGCCATGCTGCTGAGGTCACCGGGTCGGGCTAACAATGCCTCAACGCAGCGGTTCTCAAACAAGAAATAAACTATTTCAGTGGCTAGGCAAGACAACTTAAATTTTAACTTTCAAGTATCTTAAGTATCTACATGCCTTCTTTAATCATTTCACAATTTTTAGCTGACTTTTCTTGATAATCGCCACGGCAACCCTGGCATACGCTCAGGACACCCCAGGGTGCCTCAGCACCCAGATTGAGAACCGCTGCTTTAACGCATTGTTAGCCCGACCTGCTGATGTCAGCAGCACCACCCGTCAGCTGGAGCCAGTCATGAATTAACGTTCACTGTTGGTGTTTTTTGTCTGATGGACATGTTATGAGAAGGCAGGAATCCAAAAAACTGGTTGCAACTGGCAAGAATAAATAAATTAATCAAGGATTGACATTGCTGCACTCAGGACATTCATACATGTGCTCTGTCTCTTTCTTCAGTAGCCAATAAAGGGACCCCATGCTAATAGGGCAAGCTGTTAGACAAAGTTAAGGTCCCTTTTCCGCGCCTTTAGACGTATTGGGAATATAGGGCTAGACCTATATTTTTATAGACCAATCGGCACTTGGCGGGTGATGTGGTCAGCATCATGCCGGCCACCTTTACTTCCCGGGACTGCACCTGGTACCCACTCAAGGCTGGGTTGACCTGGGTGTCAAGGTAATTTATGCCTATGCCCCTGTGGGTTCCAATGCAAAGACATTCTAGTTATGCTGTTCTCCTGTTTTCTCAGTGTGTGTCCTATCCAATGCCAGCGTCTTTTCTTCACCTCTTGGTCCACTGGAGCCTGTTTAGTTCTCTCCACCCCTGCTGAATTATCTTTCAGGTATGGATACTCTGTTGCACTGACTATTTGATCTCAGAAAGCCTTGCGTGACAGCATGATTTTCAACCCCACCAGGACCGCACTATAAGCGATCACTACCTGGTGACACAAGCTGCCACTATTCGGATAACAATCCCTCAGACGCAGGTGCTAGAAACCCATGTTTAAGCATTAAGTTATATAAAGGCCCTTGACGAGTCAGGGTTGGGCTTTGAAATAACAAAACAATCGCACCCCATGATGGGATGGAGTTCATTCTCAGAAAGCTTTCACCGCCCCACTTTATCAATAAGTAGCTCACTGTCTAGAGGAGAGGTGCCATTTCAATGGTTTGAGATGAATTCTGTCCGTATTCCATAGTTGTAGGTTTCAGGCTGCACAATAGACATGACTACTGAAGACAATTTTTTTAGGGGTGCCTAGTTGGTCATGTTCTTAGTACAGCTGTTTACACAGTGAGGCGTACACACCATTTGGAGGTGGCAGGTTCAATTCCTGGAGTGATAACTATAGCTTTCGATTTTTATGTTGTCTAGTGCATCCTTTTATCTTTCTATTTCTTTCTATGAGTGCCGATCACAACATTATCTGTTTGTTTATTATATATGCCTAGAGAAGAGGCAATAATTTAATGTATCAGCCTGTTTACTGTCCTGCATACCTGAATATCCTGGACAGAAACTCCACTGCTCCTGATCTGGGTCTTATCAAGCAATGGAAGCCAGTTACTATTTTCTGAAGAAGGCACTGTGAGTCTGCTATAATTACATGTTAGGCTGTATGGCCCTCTAGCCATTAGTAAGCTGCTGTAACTACCTCCACCTCTATTCTCATACTGGAAGTTGTGATGGTCACGCACAAGAAGAACTCCACCAGGCTTCAATGTCTGATGATGACAGAAACAAACTGTTCAAACCAAATCTTACAATGCAATAAACACTTTTGAAAATATGCTAGCTAACAACAACAAAACACACACACATGAATACCCCCCTTCCCCCCCCCCCTTTCCCCCAAAAAAACAGCTACTGCAAGGACAATTCTTTTGCATCTGGATCATCGATAGTTTTTAGGTGTACAGGCCGGATAACTATAAGTTTAACAGTTGCAATAGAATATCTGCTGAATATTCTCCACTGAATGGTAGATCTATTATGGGGTCCAAATGGAGCAATGATGTGCAATACAAGACTCTTAATGTCTATTAGCCTCTCTTGCTCAAGCCTACCTCACCTTCACGTGGTGGACCCTGTTCTTCCCAGCAATCCAGTTGAAGGTTGGGGTCTCAACCCCCAGCGGGAAACTGGATGGGACAACAAATGAGGTAAAGGCGAAAGACGAAGGGATGAGCCTACTCTCCTCGAGTATGACCAGTCTACCCTTGCAAAACAAGGTGCTGAAGTCGGAGGCAACCAGCCAGGAGGCGCACCACAGCAATCAGGATGCCACGCACACACGCTATGGAAATATGTCTAAATCAGCAAAACAATATGGTGCTCGCACTGTGATAGGCAAACGAAAGAAAAAGAAGAAGATAGATCTATTATACCTGTCTGTTCTAGAATCAACATGTAATCATAAAATGTCTATTGCCAAATCCATTCAATCACTAGCCAGTATTTAAGGCTAGTATTTGTTTCCAAGCAGGTGTGATTTCAGGCCAGTAGTTCTTTAGGGAAAGAAACGTTTCCAGTTTTCAAACAGCAGTATAAGAGCCACACTATGGAAGATTCCACATAATTTTACCAAAAACAGCAAAGGGCACACTGTAGCCAGCCTTTATTGTTGAGATGGTCGAGAATTCTTTGTATGCTTCTACTCTCAAAAAGAACGGCTGGGGGGGGGGGGGGGGGGGGGGGTTTATTTATTTAGGCAACCTTTTACTCTCAAGGAGAACTGGCTGTTGAACAGCAACCTAACATGAAAGAGAAGATATTCTGGCAAGGTAAATTGTTATGGTGGCCTTAAAAAAATTGTTTTGGAGTTTCCAGAAAGGGGCCAACCTCTACGAAAGTAAATTCAAGACACTGAGGTCGCATTGGCTATCTTTTTTCTTCTTCTTTTCTTTACTTCTGGAATGCCTCCTGGCATCAAAGCAGGAAGAGATCTCTGAAACGGGCCTTTCTGTTTGCTTCGTACAAAGTACTTTTCAGTGTATCTGATATTTCTGCGGTCCATCTTCTGCGTAGTTGACCTCTGGCCTTGTTACCATTGTATCTGTATAACATTGCTTTTTGTGTTGCCCTGACTGATGCCAGCATTTTTACATAGCCAAACCATTTGATTTTTTGTCTATCTATAAAGCTCAGTATTGGTTCTGTGCCGACTCTCCTCCTGATACCATCGTTCCTAAGTCGATCTCTCCTCATTACACCTAGCACAGTACGTACTGGTGCACTGGCATATAATGCTGGAGAACTGAAATGGATTTTCTGACATTCCGTGATGAGAGCAACTGTTTGCAAACAACTCTCCAAGAAACCATAGTATCAATGTTACTTTTATAGCATTCATGAATGAAAGAAGGTCAGTATTTAGGACTGCATATCTTTCGAGGGAGCCATGGTAGTGGAGTGGCTAGACATCAGCACGCCAAACCAATAGACTTATGTGTGATTCCCACAGAGCAGATGTTTAACAAATTGGATTTGGCTCCCAAATCAGCTTAGCCTAAAATGAGTACCAGCAAATGTCATGGTGAGTAAAAGTTGACGGATGCTGACTACATCACCCACTGAAAACCGATTAGTCTATAAAAATATAAGTCTAGGTCATACATTTTAAGCACCATTGGCTTAACACTGTTGTCCCCTAGTGACCTAGAAAAAAAATGCCAATTACCTGTAGTTAGGAATTTCCCAGAAGAATATATAAATGTCTAAGGTGACTTTTTTGGGCTCTACTTGCAGATTTGGCCGGCAAACTGGACGGCGTCTGTCGGCTTAGTGGGGCTTAGTGGGAGTTATGTCCCTTCGCCAAACTCAAAACAAGTGGCGGAAAAAGTCACGAATCAAATGACATACTTACCTATCATCATCCGGGTGCGTGTAGGGTTACCTATCATCCTACGGTTGCGTGTAGGGCTGCGTAGGGTGTCTATCATCGTCCTACGATTGCGTGTAGGGCTGCTTATTGCGTGTAGGTTGGTTGTTTGCGTAAGATGAGGGGTAGGGTTAGGGTTAGGGTTTAGGGTTTAGGGTTAGGTCATGATGATGTACTACTGGCTCTCCGGCGTAAGTTCAACGACTGTCATGGTCTTCGAGAGACTCACGTGCTGGTCCACCATTGTCAACTACAACAATTATTTCCGTCAGGAATGCTATAATTGGATGTTGAGACACACCGTGGAGCTGGGAGGACTCGATGAGACCAGCAGATCTATCGTGGTCGAAGTAGACGAGAGCTACTTCTTCCGACGAAAGTATCAGCGCGGTCGCATCCGTCACGGTCGTTGGGTCATAGGGCTAGTCGAGCATGAGACTGGCCGTTGCTACTTGGAGCTTGTGCGAAAACGAGATGCGGCGACATTGGAGAGACATAACAGATCATGTACTGCCGGGAACGACCATCGTGACTGACGCTTGGCGAGGCTACTGCAACGTCGCAAACTTAAGGCATGGCATCTGTCTGCACGAGGTAGTAGTCCACCAGACCAACTTCGTCGATGTCACGCACAGTCACATACACACACAAACAATCGAAGGCCTGTGGATGCTAGTGAACCGAACAATTCGCCAGCGACTGGGCACCAGCCGCCCGCTATTGGCATCATATTTGGCAGAGTTTCAGTGGTGCCACTCCCACAAGCGTCAGATTGTCGGCCACTATTTCAACCTCCTACATGAAAATTTTCCCATCTAACCATACCCCTAACCCCTAACCCTAACCCTAAACCCTGACCCTAAACCTAACCCTACCCCTCATCTTACGCAAACAACCAACCTACACGCAATAAGCAGCCCTACACGCAACCGTAGGACGATGATAGACACCCTTCGCAGCCCTACACGCAACCGTAGGATGATAGGTAACCTAGACGCAACCGTACGCAACCCTACACGCACCCGGATGATGATAGGTAAGTATGTCATTTGATTCGTGACTTTTTCCCCAACTTGTTTTGAGTTTGGCGAAAGGCCATAACTCCCACTAAGCCGACCGACGCCGTCCAGCTTGCCGGCCTAATCTGCAAGTAGAGCCCTTTTTTTTTTTCCCTGTGTCATAATTTTCCCTTGGCTGCAGTTAATACTGTGGCCAAGGGAAAATTATGACAACATGATTTCTATAAATTAAGCCTATTTTCAAAGAACACTCTACATGTTATTTTTAGTAAAAGTAGTAATTCCTGGACCCTCTTAATATGTGCACGGGTGCAAATAATAACAGTGCTATTAGTCAGGCATATTGTGAACAAGCCACTGCAGCCAAGTCAGAAAGGTGACTCTCCCAGGGAAATGGACCCAACGAGAAGTGTTAGTTGTGTGGCTTCTTGGTGCGACAGGATTAAAAATGAGTCTCTTACTTGTTAAAAAGGTACATAATATCAGTCATCAACATCATGTAAAAGGTCCTTTGCAGAAAGTTGCTCTCATCACAGTCTGTCTGAAAGAAACTCGGTCTCTCGCAAAGTTTTCTTTAGAGCAGTGACAGAGTTTTCTGTTGTAGTACTGTCGGGCTTAAGGCCATAATCACAACATAATAATCAGTACAGTTAACAATAACCTGGAGACGGATAGAAAAATCCTACCACAAACAAATGAAAAGCTCAAATTAGGTGAGTTCATTCTTACTTATTCTACACCCAGTAGCTCACCATAAGTTAATTGGTTACTCTCCCCTAGTGGGTTCCAGGGTCCCATTGTAGATGAAACAAAACAAAAATAGACCTCAATCAATCAGTCGGGTGCCATCTCCACTGTGAAGGCTGACTGCAATGGATCTGCAACATGCTTTGCCTCTTGTCCTGGTTGTACACTCTCTCAGACTGCTGCCTGGTTATCTCTTGATATTGTCCCCCTTCTTGTATCATTGCCCACCTCTTGCTTTAATGACCTAATGTCCTCACAACAAGCATGTCCTTAGAATTGACTAATTAGGGGTTTTCCTTCAAAGTCAACGTGTATCTGCCTGAGAGGAACCAACAGTCTGCATACAAATAAGCCAGATCTGTAAAATGAATGTGCATGTAAAACTCAAGTTCTGGAACAATACTGAAGTCCATAAGTGGGTGAACAACCAGAACTTTCTGTCAAAGTTTACAGCTGGTGACTGTGAAGAAGAAGCAGGATGAACAAACAGAAAATCTGCCGGAGTTAATTGGTGTATGCACAGGAAAACGAAAAACTGGTTATTCAATGCATCAAAGATGTAAAATATAAAACCTACCTTTGCTACATTGCTCACAGCTTCAGCCATCTTCTCAGGGTGAACAGCAGACAGGACAAATATCAGGGTAGCAACATCTACAGATGCTTCTGGAACTGTATCAGTTAACTGGTCTTTAGTGATGTCACACTGAAAAGCTGTGCACCGGTCAGCGCTGTACAGTGGGTGGGACTGGAAAATATAATGTTACAATTTTTTCTCTTTTTAACACATGGGTTACAAATTTGTCAATGCTTCGTCGCCTTCTGGAAAATATAATGTTCAATTTTTTCTCTTTTTAACACATGGGTTACAAATTTGTCACTGCTTCGTCGCCTTCTGGAAAATATAATGTTCAATTTTTTCTCTTTTTAACACATGGGTTACAAATTTGTCAATGCTTCGTCGCCTTCTGGAAAATATAATGTTCCAATTTTTTCTCTTTTTAACACATGGGTTACAAGTTTGTCAATGCTTCGTCGCCTTCTGTGTTCATTCAGTGTTTTGACTTTCCTACTTAATGAATTACATTATGTGACAGACTGAATCTATTTTTTATAGGGGACTTTCTTTTTTTTTTTTTTTTTTTTTTTTTTTTATTTATGGCAGTTTTAAAGGGAAATAATCCTATACTTTAACTTTAACCAATATTTTGGCTAAATTTAAAAAAACATAACACTTTAAAAAAAATTATACTGTAGGGAAAAGTCGATGGCAAGAGAGCAAGAGGTAAACAACAATGCAAGTGGGAGGACAACATCAAGAGATGAACAAACAGCAGTCTGAGACAGTCTACAACCAGGACAAGAGACACGTCATGTTGGAGATCCACTGCAGCCAACCTTCACTGTGGAGATGGCAAGACAGCAAGAGGTAAACAACAATGCAAGTGGGAGGACAACATCAAGAGATGGACAAACAGCAGTCTGAGACAGTCTACAACCAGGACAAGAGACATGTCATGTTGGAGATCCACTGCAGCCAACCTTCACTGTGGAGATGGCAAGACAGCAAGAGGTAAACAACAATGCAAGTGGGAAGACAACATCAAGAGATGGACAAACAGCAGTCTGAGACAGTCTACAACCAGGACAAGAGACATGTCATGTTGGAGATCCACTGCAGCCAACCTTCACTGTGGAGATGGCAAGACAGCAAGAGGTAAACAACAATACAAATGGGAGGACAACATCAAGAGATGGACAAACAGCAGTCTGAGACAGTCTACAACCAGGACAAGAGACACGTCATGTTGGAGATCCACTGCAGCCAACCTTCACTGTGGAGATGGCAAGACAGCAAGAGGTAAACAACAATACAAATGGGAGGACAACATCAAGAGATGGACAAACAGCAGTCTGAGACAGTCTACAACCAAGACAAGAGACATGTGGTGAGATCCAATGCAGCCGACCTTCACTGTGGGGATGGCAACTGACTGAAGGTGTCCTGATGGCCACTGATGTGAAGCTTCAGTTCTTGTCTTACACATCTCACTGGTTTCTGACCTAGGAGAGTACATCATACACCCAAGTTCCCAGAAGATATGTCTTTAATTCCTTACCTCACATCGAATTCATGTTACACCTGATAAAATTACTGAGAAGCAAACACATTTTCACTTTTTTCCGAAGTGCATTAATATTCAGATTATGACCATAATTTGTTCCTGCTTCTATTCCTCTTTTGTAGATTAATGGCATGTGTAGATTAATGGCACAGATAAGCTGTTACACTCACAGCCACTGATTTCCACTTAATTCTTCTCTAAAACTAATAATTAATAAGGACTGTGAAACACATTATTATAACTTTTCCAATTGTTAGTAATTGCTATTGTCTTATCCTTTTGGGCAGGAAAAGATATTTCATGTTTGCTGACCTCAGGGGCACCAATAAAGGGGAATGATATTGGACAAAGGACACCATAATACAAACTATATGGTTGGCAGAGGGCAGGGATCCCTTATGTTTGGTGGGTATATACCCCCAAAGAGACGAAGCACAAAACAGAAAGGGGTTTTATAGAGCACCAGGTCAGCCTGCCTGACCATATATTGGGTAATAAAATGTAAGTATTCGACGGGTCTTAGGTACCATTTTTTTTATTGTTCAGTAGAGAGCAGTGGTAGGAACATAAGGGTCAGGTATGGTCAATGTGGCACTTTTGATGCTTTAGTTCTGTTGCAAAGAAGATGTCACGAGCATACAGAGGCCAATAAATAAACCTTAAAACTTTGGTATTTGATGCTGTTGGGGCAGCAGCAGGTGTGATCACAGGTGAAGATGATATGGTGTATCCATAATTTGTGCCTTAAGTTATCCCTGGAAGTAAAATCACTGACTATGTTGTTGACCACATCTCCCATCCACTGGCCTGTAAAATAAATAAAGGCCTAGCCCATCGTGCCAATAGCAGGAGAAAGGTTCCTCTACTTCACTTTCATATACTCTGTGTTCTATTGGATTAATAAGCAAATCTACATTCCAACCTCTGCTGAAAGAGACAGTGCACATAGGGATATGTCATCATCATCACCCCGTAACACTACGTGTCGTTGGGTCACAAGTTTCTGTTGACTGTCTGATCAGCTCTCTCTACTTTTAGTGGTCAGCTGCTATGGACTTCATGGTTGCATGCCTGAGGCCTGTTCAGTCAGTCAGGTTCTGTAACGAGGTCTTTCTTGGTCTGCCTCTTATCCTCTACTGAGCCCTGCAGCTTTGTTTTTGAGAGGCCCTTAGTCCTTATTACATGTCCATAATATGCATATGTCCATGGCACAAACTCTAGTTAATCATCGATAAATTATTATTTCTGTGTCTAGTCATGTAACAATAATTTTTTTCATCAAATTAACAATAAATGATGAAGAAATTGAAAAAATAATAGCAGAAGTCATGGTGCCAGGAAGGAGGGGCGGGGGCCGACCACCACGAAGATGGGCACAGGATATAAGTGACTCCTTGAGTGTGAAATTACACGAGGTGGGAGAACTGGCGAGAGACCGAGTTTCTTTCAGGCAGACCGTGATGAGAGAGACGTTCTGCAAAGGACCTGATACATGATGGTGATGAGTCATGTAACCTATCTGAACTGTCAGTGGTGGGATGAAAAGTGTCTCTAAAGATAATAAAATGTGATTTGTTTATTTCATTGAAAATCAATCAGTTAGGTGCTGTCTCCACAGTAAAAGTTGACTGCAATGGATCTCCAACATGCGCTGTCTCTTGTCCTAGTTGTACACTCTCTCTGACTGCTACCCATCCATCTCTTGATGTTTATACCCACATTTCCCAGAAATCACTTCCACTTTCTATTTGCTTATTCACTGTCCAGTTATCCTAACCATATAGCAGGATTGGTATACATAATATTTGACAATTCTCAATTTTAGTGTATTGTTTATCTCTCTAGCTGTCAGTAATTTGTGCATCTTATTGAAGAGTTTTAGTCATTTCTATACTCCTTTTGATTTCTGTTTCGCTTCAGTGGAAAGGATTCATCTGAACGCCTCATTATATGATGCATTATGTGCTAATGTAACTTTGTAGCAATATATTAGAGGAGATACAGTGAAATATGCCAGGGGATAAATTGCGCAATGGACTATTTACAATCATATTAAGTCTATTGGTCAGGGGAGAGGTTCTTAAACTGGGTGCCGAGGCGGATTTCAAAATTTGCTTGAGTTCAGCGAAGACAGCAGTTTAAAACAGAAACAACGTGAAGTAAGCCAAGAAGAGTTCTGGTTGCAGGTGTATTGTGAAGACAATGCTATTGGCAAGGCTGCAGTGTATTCTCAACGAACGCTTACATGAAAAACAGATACAGGACCAAACTTTCTGGGTCAAGTGATTTGAGGGTACAATTAACTAAACTTCCCATATACATAAAGAACATAATGAAAAATTCATCAAAACAGTTACATTCATCGCGTTAAAGTGCACATTAAATGCGTACTGTTTTTTTTTTCTTTTCCTAACTAATCAAACCACTTTCAGAGTGGGTATGCCATGAAAATGTCTTTGCCTAAAAAGGGCGCGGCAGTGAAAAAAGTTTCAGAACTGCTGGTTTAGAGCATAAATGTAAAGCTGACACCAGCAACAGAAAACGAACATTGTGAGGAGATTCTTGTTTTCAGTTCTATACCTTGACGAAATCAACAGCTCTGGGTGAGAAGTCACAGGCATAGAAAATGAGTTTTGGATTCTCCTCTAGCAATGGGAACATGAAGTTGCCAACACCACATCCAACTTCCAAAACTGTACAGCAATCCTAGAGAGAGAAACAAAAATAGAGAGAGAACTCAATGCAGTACTTACGGTAGTTAAACTAACAAAGAATAGTATTTAAAAAATGTTCTTCTTCACATTCAGCGGTTATAAACTCAGGCGGAAAGTTCTGGTTTTTGGTCCACTTGTGGATGCTAGTCCTGTTCCAGAAACTGGGTGTTGCCTGCACATCCATTTTACATATCCAACTCATGTGTATGCAGACTGTTGGTTCCTTGCCTCTCAGGCAGATGTACTTTGACTTCGAAAGAACTCTCAATTAGTTGACTCTGATGACATGCTTTTGAGAAGGCCATGGTTCTAGTCTTGATTTCCCCAGAATGGGACCCCGACACCCACACAGGGATCCAAATAATTTTTATTGTCTTTTTTTTAATATATATATTCATCACACATATTAAGTTGTTCCATCTTCAGCCTGATTTCAAAGCTTTCTAATAGATTAGTTTGTGCCTTCTATCATTCACTTCTTTACATTGCTTAGTCTACGCTATAATAAAAGTCCATTTGAAATTCCAGAAAAGTATCCTCATAGTGGGTTAAAAGTGGTAATTAACAGAGGTCAAGTTACTTGTAATTTGTTATCCGTATCGACATTCTAGTACATCAGTCCGACCCAACTGTGCTCCGTCCTCCAATGCAGCAGCCATCTCAGTGGCTCAATGTATTCAGTAAGATTTTATTAGCATATCGTCTTTCTTTGCCCCGCAACCAGTTGTTGCATGCTTGACCTTATTGAATACCAATTTCCAAGAGGTGGGTAATCATTTCTGCCTCCTTTGTCTGAAAGTCTCTGGAATGCAGCGCATTCAGTATGTCTGCCCTGTCCATAAAAAACAAGCCTTAACAGCACTGGTTCAAATAATTGCTAGCCTGTTCTGAAGTAAATTTGGCGTGCAGGACTCTGTCAGATCATTTGAGCTTGTAATATGGTAGGTGTGACTGCTAAAATATGAAGACATGGCATCTATGGGTATGCCTGGTGTGCTTAGATGTTGATTCTTACAGGTAATAAATGTTAACCAGCCAATAGCAGTAACTCCACAGCATAAAAAGAGGCTTCAGATCATCAGAAAAGGTATCCTTTCCACACATGCTTCATTGAATGCTGAATTAGAAATCAACATCCTAGAACTGAGGACAATCTCATAAGTGTGCCATCCCCATCTTCAGCAGCAAACAAAGAGTTTCCATTCCGATGGTATCAGTAACTGTCTCATTGTACATACGTCCCATCTTTTCCTTGAATGCTAAGCATCAGCTACATCCCCTGGTAACTTCCTGCAGCGTCATTCTCCTCAGACCATAATGATCTATATGTGCCTCTGCACTGTTCACTTGCTCCTAAAGGGCCCTTACAACATCTAGCTTGTCATACATTTTCTTCTTCTCCTTCTTCTTCAGCGATCTTTGGTCATGCGCATAATCCACTGTGAGCCTTAAACTAGGATGTCATCTCAAGGTCTCTTAGGTTGTCCCAAAGCTTAGGTCTACTGGGTGTTTGAGTACAACTTTTTCATGGCTATAATCTGTGTTGGTTTTCCAATTTTTTTCTGATTTTATCTTAATGGGAATTTTGACTCCTGGAAAAGATAGTGGCTCGCAGATTTGAGGTTTGCTGCTGCCTTCCTTGGCTAAAGTGTCAGCGTTTTCATTGCCTTTGATGCCACAGTGAGATGGAATCCACTTCAGGTGAGTTTCTGCCTTTTTTGACAACACAGCAAGTTTCTTTGTTAGATTCTGTAGTGTACTGTTAGTAGTTTTGGACTCTAGAGCCTGTATGGCTGACACTGAGTTTGTGAGAAAAACCATACTGCCTGGGGGAGGTTTGCAGATTGTTCATATAATGTGCTGCCATCAGTAGGGCTGAGAGCTCTACCTTATAGTTAGAGCAAGTTCATCCTGCGGTTGCTGCCAGGGACACAGTAGTGGCATCTGGGTGTTTAATGTAAATACCAGCTCCACCATTCGTAGTTGCCTCTTTGTGCTGATCCATCTGTGTAGATTTTCCTTTACTTATCCAGGACCTACTGGAGTGATGCTTGCCACTCCGCACAGAGCATACCTATCTCCACCTTCCTTAACATACTCTGTGTGACAGTTACTGTGCTTCATGATCACTTCTCAGCACTTTTTGAAGGTTAAACACACCAAGATTATTGCCCTAAATAAGTGTGAATCCTTTCCGCAGGCATAAAATATGTGTGCATGGCTGGCATCTGTCCTTCTACAGTGTATCTTTGCGTGCTTACCCCCCTCTCTCTCTCTCTCTCTCTCTCTCTCTCTCTCACCCTCTAAGTCTGTCACTGTTACCACCTTTATATGTTATGACTACGGAAATTGCCACTACTGCCATGTTAATGCATATCCCAGCCCCCCCCCCCCCCACCCCTTTTTTTTGGTTGTTCAATGACTACCTCTCAGTTCATGCCAATAGGGAGCCATCTCTTTTCTTGGGTCTATATTATTGAGGAGTTAGTTGCATATCCTTTACACGCCATTGCAAAACCAACCCCAGCATTTTTTGGCTGTTGTGGTTTTTCTAAGCAAATTGATGTTCCAGTAATTTGCCATTGCTTTCTGGTTGGTCAGCTTCTCAATATCACTGTCAAAACCAACGCAAGGTGCAAGGCCTGCAGCTGGAATCAAACCCAGCACCCCGGCATTGCGAAGTATGTTCGCAACACCTAAGCCACATGACACAGACTATTATTGAGGAGGCTAGTTTGATATTAATTAATTACTGTTCCTCAGTTTACCGGCTGCAAAACTGCAAGGACACAATAAATCATAAAAATTATTACAATTATTGGCTATCTTCTGAATAACGGTCCCAAATTATGGAGGCGGAAAATATACCCTAACAGGGCCTCAGTCACGTGTCGATTGCACACTTCCGTCATCTTAAAGTGCGCGCTTCAGGCGAATTCCGCCACCGCAAAGAGTGACTGAGGCCCTGTTAGGGTATATTTTCTGCCTCAATAATTTGGGACCGTTATTCAGAAGATAGCACAATCTGCTGTTAATGTTGAATGACTCAACTCAAATGGGGTGTCATTTTATATAAAAAAAATAGTATGTTGTCAGCTCTATCTAATTTATTATTTGTTTCAGTTCATTTATAATTTTTATATATTTTTTTCTATTTTTTTTTTCTATTTTTTAATTTATGAGACGCAATTTTACAACGTTTCAAACTAAGGTGAATGTGAAATTTCAAATTAGTGAACTGTGATTTACTTACCCCCAAACTGTCTGAAAATTCTTCAAATTCTCGCTTTGTCCAATGTCTGTCTTTGAAAAATTTAGTTGTATTTCTCTTATAGAACAAATCCCAGTTTTTCTGTGCTTCGATTTCTAATTTGTTTTGTTTGAATTCGGAAACCAGATTGACATCTGCTAGAAGTTTGGTCAATTCCTTTTCTGTAAGTTCTCTGGCTTCGTGATCATGGTCAGACATCATTCTACCCGATTCTTCCATTTTCAACAGCATACAAAAAAAACTATGTATGTAACTATAATAAAAACCTCGATGTTATGTCGTACAGTGGTAATACAGAGTATTGTGTGCGTCTATGGTTCTTAACCTGTGTACTGTTTTACAGACATATTATTAATCGTTGCGATTTTTAATTTTCATCTTCAGTTGTTATGATTATCAATACTTTGTACTTCAGAGTTCATTGAAAACCTTGATGACGTTGGGGGGCGGGGGCGGTCCAACAACCCTAAAGATGTTTATGTAACTATAACTGAACAATATTTCACCAAAATACATGCGATTCTTCTCTAAAACCACCCATCGATAACTGGCACACAATTTCTCACAAATTCCCTGACTGTCCACGGTTCACGTCCATACACCAGGATTGTTTCCTATACAGCTCTTTGTATCTCTGCCTCTGACCGGTCGTGTCTTCGAGAAAAAAACTGACTAAATGGCAACGATATATTACATAAAATTTGTTCGTCGTTTGAAATGCTGATTTTGTTTTGGCCAATGCACATATAATTTCTAGGGTTGCGACAATGCAGAAAATGTTATGTTCGACAAGAACAAGTTTCCATGTGGGGAGTCATTTTTCGTTATTTTGAAGCCCACTCAGGCTGTTGCCGAGGGCCCTAATATAACCCAACCTACTGGTTCAACGGGGTTTCTGGGATCTGTCCTCGGGTGATCCTCAACCGAATAAATGGTGGCACTCTGTGTCGCCGGGTGTTTATCGTTCTATGTGATGAGTCTGATGTCCTGGTGGTGAAAAACGTTAACAACGCAGAACGTTAAAGGGAAGCAATTTATTAACTTTTAGCAAAAGAGATAATTCCTGACAGAATACTAGAAACATCTGTTTGTGTACATTTGCAACGGAAACGTAATACTTAAATTTGAAAATATAAAATTATTATTAATGCTACTATTTATAATAAAATTTTTATAATTTAGGCAGGTATTATTGCAAAAAACAATAATTAATTGTGCACAGTCAATCCGATAACACTTTAAAGATCTTGCTACAATTGACGTCTGGGGCCAAATGTGCACAGCTATAATGCATACTTACCTGGCACAGGAGCAACAGTGATCAATAAGGCTGTGCTCCCAGGATGAGGCCCTTCCATTGCACTTCGGTTGGGTTGACGCCTGCGATCACCCCAAATGTGGGTGACTCGAGTGCGTAATTTTTTCGTAAGGGGGACTGCGTTCGCGCTATCCCCTCCATAATCAAAGGGAGAATGCTGTCTTGATGGATATTACGGAAGATTCTCTAATAAACAGCGTCCGGTCTCGAATTTCTGCCGTATCAAGCGCCACGACAGACTGGGAAAAAAAATAGCAGAAGGCATGATACCAGGAAGCAGGGGCCGACAAACACGAAGATGGGCACATGATATAAGTGGTTCCTTGAATATGAAAGTACATAAGACTGGCGAGAGACCGAGTTTCTTTAAGGCAAAAGACCTGGTACATGATGATGAGAATGCTAGACTCCGACTAAAACCGGCTCCATATTAAGGGTTATTGTATCTATGTTTCGTGACGTTGCTGTGTAAGAAACCATCCTTTCTGGTCAGTGTGTTAAATGTTGAATTGAGAATCGACACCATAACACTCGGGACACCGAGTATGAACAGCATTCTTTGCTCCATGTCCATCGCTGCCATAATCTTAAGTACACTTTTTTTTTTAGCCCTTGTCACAAAACCCTCTATGTGATCCTTGAAAGACAAACTTCCTTCAAAGGTGATTCCCAGGTACCGCAGTCTGCTGCTTCTTTTGATGTCCCTGCCATTTATTTTGAGTCTGGGAATATCAGCTCTGACAATCCTGTTGTCCAAGAACATCATAGGGCGGTTGCCTTTTCTGGGTTGATTATAGCACTCTTCTCTGTACACCAGTCAATCAGCTTATCTACTGTCGCCTGTAACTTTTCTACCTGTGGTAGTCCTAGAGCTATAATACATGGTTCAGAGGTCCATGAACAACCCAGGCGGAGAGCTACCCGACGAGTATACAAAACAGCTGCTATCCACTTCGCCAACCAAGGACAGACTCCCTTCTCCATTAGCGCTTTTATCAAGATACTGTATCTGACTTTGTTGTAAGCGCCCTCTTATAAATCGAGTGCCGCTGCCACCCTTTCCTGTCTGTTCTGTAAACTTCGAAGGTATCAAAGGCAAAAGTAGCTGCATTTGACCATGTGTCTTTCCCCGGCCAGTAACTTCTCAATCCTCGTGGAATAAGATTTCTCTGTTCCAAAAATTCTTGAAGCGTACCCGCCACTATCTTCCCCAGCACGTTACAAATATGTTTTGTAGGGTTATGATCCTAAAGACCCCGAGTGTTAAATGATTCTTTCCAGGCTTAGAGGTTGGAATCATGTAGCTGTGCATCCACTTTTCTGGCACTAAAGCTGTCCTAATGTTCTGGTTGAAACAATCAGTCATCTCCAACATGTTTGCATCACTCATATCTTTCTAGTGAGAATGTCTTAACCCCGGCTGTCCCAGGTGCAGTGTCTTTCGCCCTTTTCAGAACACGTTTTACATCTTACAACTGTAAAATGTCTTCATAATGTTTGTTCTTTAAGATGGCTACCAGATTTGTCTAACTCTATCTCTGTTATCTCCATCATTGTGGTCTGTCTGTGAAATGAACCTCTTCAAGAAAACCTCTCCCTTCTCTTTGTGTGTGTTTAATAGCATACCGTCATCTCTATGAGTTGCTGATACTACGCTGGGCCGATCTTTTTTGAGCGTCTGTTCAAAACTTTACCAATGTCTTATTGCTCAATAAAATGATCCCATTTTGCTTTTTTTTTCCCCTCTGCCGCACGGCGCTTGAAAAACTCTATCTTATCTTTCGGCTCTTCTTTGAATCGTTCCCCAAAATGGCGGCTTTAATATGATGGCGTTCGAAAGAGAGCTAAATTGGCCAATTCCTGGCCATAAAATATCCAAAAATATCCGAATGCGGGTCAGTTCTATTAAAAATATATGTGCCGGCTCCGGATAACAAAACAAATGTTCTGACAGGGTCTCGGCGATACGTTGCTTGCCGACCTGCTTCTGCGAGTGTACCTAACCGCCGAGTGTATCCCCCGCGCTACGCGCGGCGCGGATGGGGGCTAAACTAGATGGCTGGGACTCACGATCGGCAGCTACCGCATCTCCTGCAACTTCTTCCAATTAATGTACTCGTGAGTCCCAGGCACCTAGTTTAGCCCCCAGGCACCTAGTTTAGCCTCCATCCGCGCCGCGCGTAGCGGCGCGGGGAATACGCTCGGCGATGAGTTTAATCGCGTTTGGCGCATGCCAACAAGTCTGACATCTACCGCTGCTTCATCCTCCAATCGGAAGAACACAGTATTGCTAATCGGCTTTCATCGTCTGTAATGTCTCGAAATTGGTCAACGGTCGCTAATATCGTCTCCTAGTATCGTCTGCAGAAACGCTCGAAATTGTTGTCAACGGTCGGTATTTATCGTCTGCTACTAGTACCGTGTGCAAATGTTGATATTGATTGTCAAGTAATCCTAGTTTTGCCGCGATTTGTTCCTTGGCAGAAAGTCCGTATTTTAGATATACGCAAACACCGTCGTTCGGATATTTTTGGATATTTTATGGCCAGAATGTGGCATGCCGCCATTTTGGGGAATGAATCAAAGGAGAGCCAACGATTTACTGCATCTCTCTTTAACTTCCATGCCTGTTCAACCTCTGATGTCCACCATGGACGCTGCATAAAGGTAGATCTGCCGGCCCTCTTATATGCACTCTGTCGGAGAAGTCCAAGAAGGATGTTAGTCCGTCCGCTCATACTTGAAAGGCTTATGAGCTCTTGAAGCCTTGACTTTCCTGGATTAGGAGATTAATACCGAACATGGCAGATGGTCACTTCCATGATCGCCCAGGACATTCCCTTTGGTGTCCAGTACTACTGACTGGTCAATAGCCGTGTCTGCGTCGCCGAGCCTCATTGCCATTTTAGTTGATGTTCCATCATTTAAACAGACAAGGTTTTAATCAACCATGGCGTCGGCAAGGGCAACACTCTGTCGGTTTTCCTTAGTACTGTCCCATTCATTGTTCCGTGCTTTTAAATCCCCACAAATGAGGAGCCTGTTGCCAGGAATCCCTTCTAGGTCTTTCAGCCAGTCCCACTGTTGTTTTGTAACTAAAGAGCCCACGGCAGCATATATATTTATTATGTTCCAACGTAGGCCACCAATCTCCATCAGTATTCCCTGCACCTCTCTAGCATCAATATTCCAGAGACTCAGGTCAAGCACCACATGTTTCAATCCCTCCTTCACTATCAGACGTTGTCCATGTCTCCCATGTCCAGCAGGGTTTGCGTAGCGGGCATATCTAGGGCAATTACATTTATCTGCATTATGAAGCATGATTACATCACAGTCGTAAATCAACCTCTATAGTATGGGACCTCTCTGTATGGCACTACGACAGTTTCAAAAGCACACGATAACATGACTGAATCCCAGCCGTTCTGTTTGTCGCCCAAATTGTCGGGCTCCTGCCATTCTATTTCTAGGCTTTCTTCTCTCACCATTCCCTCGTATTCTCCTCATCACTGCTTGCTGAAGATGACGTCAAGTACAGAGCACATACTCCGTAGCTCCGGCGACAATTCTTATTAAATAAAAAATCCATATGTTGAAGTTGTGGAGCAGGAAGTAACCTGTCACCCTAGTAGAGCTTGCCTGCTAGGGAAGAGACAATGGATGTCCTTATGAAGTCCATACACCGAGCGCTGCCCCTCCCGGTGACCAGACGCCCACAGCCATTCAGCTTCTCAGCAAGTAGATCCACTTTAAGCTTCCCCCCCCCCCCAAGGTTGTCTCCTCTAGATACGTTATATTTTGTCCCGGGACGGCGAGATCCTGGTTAAAGTTGTCACCTCTGGGAGGATCTCTTTTCGATTACGACTGTAGAAAGGTTTAGCAGGTCATGAGCGCGCCCTTTTCACCTGTAAGGTTAGACCCAGAGACTCACAAGGGGGAACAGCTGGTGTGCTCCACTGCACGAGTTTTAGCCACTACAGCCTTGAGCCTCCGTGACCCTCTAATCTAACTATTATAGATATATGTACATACATTATTCTTGTTAAAATATTTACTAATTATAAGGTTTTCCCCCCATCAATAGGACTGAAAACACAAGATTTTCCAAATAAAATTTAAGAGACACAGCAAAGAATTAACAGCCCTGCCTGGATCCCAAACATAAAAGAAAATCTTCCAACGTAATCACGTGATGTCCAAAATGGCGAAGCCCTGACTTATTTTAGAGCCTTTCAACCTTGTGTGTGTGTGTGACATCAACCCCTGTTATTATTCTCAGTCTACGCAAAAATATACGTCGTGTGGAATAACATAAATAATGAATCTGAAAACTCCGCTAAGTCAGTGGCTGCATTTAGTTTATAAAATGCATTACAGTTCTGAGAACTTTGGATCCAGATTGCTCTACTTGAATAAGTTCAGTAACTTGAGTAACTGTACAACACAAGTTAACAACAGAACTACGGAAACGACGATTAAATTACAGGCAGTAAACTGTGTAAACAGAATTATAACTGTGCCATTGTTTCATCACAATATATTTGTATCCTATTCACTTGCCCAGTTGCGAAAATTTCACACAGAGCACAACAAAGGACGTCTGTGTATGAAATCATCGCCTTTGTTATTTTCTCACTGCCAAAGACATTGTTGGAACTGTGGACGCAACACTAATCCAACCCGAGAACTATTTTTCTGTGACTGTGGTGTTGTACAGAAACCTGCCTGTGAGTTAACCTATTTTGACCTGATGCAGCTGAAGCCTTCGTTTGATATAGATACCAAGAGCCTCGGGGACATGTTCAGAGAAACTCAGAAAAGATTACATCCAGATAAATTTTCAGGCAAAAAACAGGTTTGTTTATTGTACATTGTGACATAAAAATATACTCAAAGCCGTTAACCCTTTTAGCACGGGAAGTTTTTCAGAGGTCTAGCCAAAATCACGGAGCATTTTTTCAGTGAATTTGGTTATTACTTTATTTAATTATTTTTGACCCCATGAAATAATATATCTATTTGAAGGATATAGATTAAAGTTCATGATTTTCACAATATCGTTAAAATTAGTTAAAGTATATGTAAATTATCTCATTTGCATATCTAAAAATAGAAAATATGAATTTGAATTTTCAACTTCAATGCTTAAAACATAAAACTAAAAACAAAAATTTTTTTTTTTTGAAATCTTTTTATTGATCTTTGGCCTTTTTGCAAATGATGTAAGCAATTCAATAGTCAGAAACAGGTATATATATATAAAACAGCAATAATATCTTTAGGTGACATGTGTTTTTCACCATCAGTCAGCACAAGAAATGGATGTGCCGGAGTGTCGATGGGTAGCAACGTTTAGATCATCATCATCAGTTTTCACTTCTGCCGTTTAAAGAAAAAAAATTGAGCCCGCCGGAGAATCGTACCCTGATCACCCGCTTAACAGGCAGAATGCTTATTAACTGTACTAGCGAAGACTCTATAATTTTGTTCAAACGAAATTAGATAATAAAAGAAAGCATAGTTCGTAGTATTCCTGTTCCATATTTTTAACTACATGACCTCTCTAGTCCCTAACTACAACCTCTTGAGGCCCTGAATAGGATTTTTTGTCTTTGAATAATTTGGGACCGTTATTCAGAAGAGTGCCGATATTTTATATATCATATAATGACACCAGAACCCACCCACATTTGACTACAAGTTTCATCGCAACCATTTTGTGGTGTCCCAGTATAACTTTGCTATATAACTGTACGGTTGAACATGGTTTCTGGGATTTGTATGTGTTTGATTCTCATTCTTCACATATTAATCATACAGAATGCAAATCTGGAGAGCTAAAACTTAAAAAAAAAATGTTTAAAAAAAACCAGTCTAAATAACTTCATGTAGTAATTTATACGATTTATATTGATATTTCCTCATTGAACTTATAGTTCATAGTTTGTATATGTTTCTTGTACTTAATATTATTCATGTTTTATTTTTCAGGAGGAGATAGATTTGGCACAGCAGCAGTCGGCTCTGTTGAACAAGGCCTACAACACCCTTCTAAAACCATTAAGCAGAGCTATTTATTTGCTAGAGCTGCAGAATATTGAAATCTCAGAGAAGGATAATTTCACGGACCCACAGTTTTTAATGGAAATCATGGAAATCAATGAACAGATAAGCGCAGCCAAGAAACCCAGTGATGTTGAAGCTTCAGAGAAACTTAGTGATGCCAGGATAGAAGAATGTATAAAAGAAATCTCAGAACATTATAAGAAAAATGCCTGGAATGATATGAAGAAAGCTACTATAAAGCTGCGTTATTACACAACAATACAGGAACGGATTAATGAGATTAAGAGAAGTTCTTTAGGGTAGGCTAGATGTAGCAGTCAGGTGCCTTCTGAATTATATCTGAAGTGGTAATGTTTTCTGTGCTGAAGTCTAAACTAACATATGCTATGGTGGAGAGAATCAATTTCATTGCAGTGAGTTTTATCCCATATAGCTTGGTGTGTCTCTGCAGAATGGCTAGATGCTTGTCGATAGAGCATCACACAAAGCACAAACTCTGTAGCTCTGGTGACGATCTCCATAACAATTGCATTCATGAGCCGAACGACACCAATGAACCTGCCACCTTTAGAGGGTGGTCATGTGTGATAATGCACCTGTGGCATGAAAAGTTTTTTTTTTTTTTTTTCAAACTTAATTGTGTCAACCAAATAACACGTAATGTAATGTGCACATACTGTAGAAACCTGGGCTGTTATTATAATAAGTAACATTGAATATGTTTTGTTAAAGGTTTATCTACGTTGCTTCTTTGAAAATACAGTGGAACCTCAAAATGTGAAAACATAATCCATTCTGTTTGGGTTCCAGGGAAATTTTCTATTAAATATGATGGAGCTACATTAATGTGTTCTGAGGTCCAGCATCCTCAGATTTGTATTTTCTTAAATGCAGTACACTGTAGAGATAGTAACAAATGTTGATCATATTTGAATAAAAACACAGTTAAATAAAATGAAAATATATGTATATAAAAACATTGTATTTAGTAACATCAAGGGATGGAAATTAATCTCAGAGTGAATTATGGTGTTAGATCTGAAAGAAGATAAAATGAGGGTGATCCAAGTGACAAAAAGGCACCAAGTATGCAATCAATCAGACAACTTCAAGATCTTGACCCAGTCCTTACAAACCCAAGTGGACCAGTCACAGTTACAATTGTGTGGACATGTATGCAGAATGGGAGAAAATCGTTATGCATACAGTATTTTCTGAATGCTGAAGAAGAAGTATTTACAGTACCGTGATAAAAATGGTGACACAGCATATTGAAGTAAGAGGAGGAAGAAGTTTTTAGGGAGATTATTGTTTGGAAGGTGAGTCACTTTTCATGATAACACCAGGAATCCTTTCTGGCATTTCATTTTGTAGTCTGTCATCACTTGTAGAGAGTTTAGGGTCACTAGTATTTGCTGAAAGCCAGCATTCCAAAGTGTTCTGATGTTGATACAAAAAATTTATTTCTAAAAAATTTTCAGTTTTTAGACAAGCTTGATAGGTACATGTGGTCAACATGATTCAAACTGCTTTTACTTCCCACAGCATTTTATGCTACCTATTTTAGACTGGTCAACCTAAGTGCACCGTAGCTCTGAAAAAATAATGTGCACTGTATAAGAAGACCTGGGCAACTGGAAATAAAAGAAGAAACTCTGGCTGGTTGCTTTGGCAATATTTTAATTTAAGAAGGATATTTGCAGTATGAATCTTTTATGAAACTCAGACCCTCTTCTTTTCCAATGATCTGTCTTTTTATGCATATAGGAAAAGCTACTACAGCTGTTGCCAACTGCAACTAGCTCACTATGAGTCCCTAGAACAGCTGTTGTTGACTTGTACCTTCACAAGCAGTGGTGAAATATTGCAAGCTAGGACCATGTGGGGGAGGGGTATGGGGTAATTGAAGAAGAGGAGGGTGAAAAAATAAACTGGAATGACATCATCCAGAAAAGGAAAAGACTAAGTTATTATACACTTGTTCATCTAGTGGAAGACAGAAAGATAGCAGTTTTGTGTGTGCTAGTGCTTCCATCGATACACCTCCCCAATCCTAACGGGTCAAGGGGTTATAATTAGGGCTGTACCGAATAGTGATTTTCACTATTCGGCCAAATACAAATAGTGGGACCAACTATTCGGCCGAATACGAATAGAGTATCATCATCATCAGGTGACTTGCCGACTGGCGTGGGCGATCATGCCTCTCCATAATCTGCTGTCTCCTGCAGCATGTATCAGTTCGTGTGCTGACGCACCTTCATGCCTTGCAACAGGACTGTCAAGAATATTTTATCGTTGTCTTCCTCTATCCCTCCTTCCACAGATCTTTCCAGTGGTCACCACGTGTTCCATTTTCCCTCTTCTCATAACATGGCTGAAAAATGACAACTGTCTCCTTCTGATGTCTGTGATTAGTTGTTTTCGGGCTCCCGCCTCTTTCAAAACCATTGTTCACTCGGCCGTTCGTTTGAGGTAATTTAAACGCAGCTTCATATTCTCGTTAGCAATATCTTCAAAGTTGATTTGGGCGAAGACACCCTGAAAAAAAATGCATGATCTCTCTCCCTTTCTCCCTCTCTCTCTCACACACACAGACACACACACTGTGGTTGGCATTTTATGCAGTTTGTACCACGCAACCGGATCGCAGTTTCCCCCGATACGACAGACTAAGGCAACAGCAACTACTGTGTTAATGAGAGAGTTATTTCAGTCCATCACAGTGAATGCAGAAACGGGATTAAGGTAACCACTATTCGTTTTCGGCCCGACTGCAACTATTCGGCCGAATACCGAATAGTTATTAGGTCCACTATTCGGCCCCGAAGCGAATACGAAGCGAATATTCGGTACAGCCCTAGTTATAATATATTTTGTTAGAAGAGTGGCATTAGGCTGTCAAGATAACCATTACCAGCCAGGTCTATTACTGGATGTGGTGTGCTGAATCATGACCTTCCCTGATGGGTTCTGGAGGGTGGGGGATATATACCCTGCCGCCTAACGAGCATGCTCTAATAGTCGACTAATTAGGCTTTTGCTGAAATCTGATAAATTCGGATGAAAGGTGCAGATATCGCAGCCTAGCTATAAATCACAACACAGTGTGACAACCACCTTTTTTTGAGGGTGAATGCAGAAGAAGCAGCATGACCTAGATTCATCCTAATATGCCTGTATTTAGATGTGAAGTCATGTGCATGTAGCTAGTTTCTAAGCTTGAGAGGGAGCACCACATTCCCTGTTGAGATAGAACCAGGTGAGGATGAGAAAACAAAAAGATCAAATGGTTTGGACATGTGTTAAGACTACCACCAGATAGTGCACCACAGAGATCCCTGTCACTTAAACATAATGCAGGCAGACCTAGATGATGACCATGCAATGGATGGAGAGATGGATAGTTCCAATTCTAATGATATCAGTGGCGGTTTGAGTACTATGTCAGTCTAGATTTTCCTCAGGGTGTAGACCGTCTGTCATATTCCCTGGTCAATCCTCACCACACCATTTTCTCCAAACTACCATAATAAATTAATGATCTATTTATGCTTTGACATTTGTCTCTTGTTCCCAAATGGCCTTGACCAGATCTAACTTTTTATGAATCAAGTCACCACCCACTTGTGCAGCACCTGCCAATCGGTCTGCCTGTTCATTTCCCAAAACACATGCATGCCCTGGAGAAAAATATCATAACATCGCTGACTACCTCAGACCTTTGAAGCGATGCTTGCTACTCTGAAAGGATCATGCTTTCTCTAGTTTCTCGCATGCTTTGTGATTCTCTTATAATCACATTGTCTGTGCAACTGGTTTTCAAGCCATTAAAAAGTCTTCATTACATAGAAACAAAAAAGCCCTTCTCATTACTCAAATGGCTTTAACATCAATGCATGGAACTTAGAAGTTCAATCTTACAGGGGATTCTCAGCCAAACGACCAGCACCCAGAAATATGAAAAAAAAAACAACTTGGTGAAGATAATAAAAGTGTAAAATATGAATTTAGTTTCAGTTGTGTGTGTTTCCTCTGTCTATTGTTTGTTTGTGTACATATCAGAACATTTAATGTCACTGGCAGTACAATTTGTATCCTTCATGTAATGTTCAGTACTTTCATGATCTTTACTCTTGTTAAAGCTTGGAGAGAATGAGGCACCTGGGTGTAACCAGAGGGTCTGGCTGGCTCACTGCACCCAGAGGGAAAGCAAGATATATAACCAGATTGTAACCAGTACCAGAGGACGGAGTACACATGGAAATGCTCCAAGTGCTGTGATGTCAATTCTTAACTCTACTCTTAAAACCATTTAGTTTATACTGCCCAGGCTTTGTGCTGTGGAGAGGAGAAACCGTTTGTGGAAGATACCTCCTTTATGTGAGCTGATCTTGCTAGTCAAACTTGCCATCACCGTGGGCTGTAATTCCCATGCCTCCTTTTAGCCAACTGGAACATAATCATCTGGAAAGCTGCTAAAAAAACAAAAAACAAAAACAATTTTTGTGTGCTCTTTATCCTAAAAACATAATAAAGAGCTTCCTCTTCGCGGTCACCAGCTGTAAAACTCTGGCGGAAAGTTCTGGTTGTTCGTCCACTACTGTTTCAGAAACTGAGTGCTGCATGCCCATCCATTTCACAGGTGTGACTCATTTGTATGCAGACTGTTGGTTCCTTGCCTGTAAGGCAGATGTACTCTGACCTCAAAGGAAGCGCCCAATTAGTGGACTCTTATGACACGCTCTTGAGCAGGCAGTGGGTCTTTTTTCCCCACAAAGGAGCCTTAGAACCCACATGGGGAGTAATAGAGGGCTAAACTGAGTTATTTTGTCAATTATCTAACCCTCCTTTTACTGAGCTAATCCTACTCAAGCAGCACAATATGTTCTGAACAATGACTGTAGTCTGGGGCTTATTCGTTTATTCATCATCATCACCAATTTGTCTTCTGCTATTAAGTGTTGTGGGGATGATTGTTTGTGATACATAGCTTGATGGGCAGCAATGGCAATTGTCATTCCTTGTCAATGTAGAAGCTCTTTAATGTCCTCAATCCATCTTCTCCTAGGGCAGCCTCTTGGTTTCACTTCCAATCTTTTCATTGAAGCGCCTGCGCTGGTTGTTGTTTTGATTGTATTCTTACTAAATGTTAAACCATTTGATCTTCTGTTTCTCAACGAATTTGCTGCATGGTGTTGTTTCTACAGTCTGATAATATAATTTCTAACTTTGTCTCAGATGGTTAAGCTGGCAGCTTTTCTCAGGCACTTCATTTTACAGGTGTTAATTTTACCTAGGTT